AGCAGTTTTGACTCTCTAGCATTGGGTGGGGAGACTTTGGGTTTCTATATTTCTGGGAACTCCCTAACACTGAAATTGGTGGTTCCAAACCACTCCTGTCTGGGCATTTTAACCTGGGTAGAATTCTAACCTGCTGAGAATCAAGTTTGTAAGGTTTCACTGAATAGATAAGCCAAGGCTAACCTCATTTTCATAAGACAAGGGACACTTAAATAGTGCTGTTATGGTGAATCATTTTGGAACAAATAGTTGTTATGGAGGCAGGCTCATGGATAGGTCAGTGGTGTATAGTATAGAAGCTGAGACTTCTGTCGTCTGGTCCCTCTGCCCCCCCTCCCATTTTTCATCAGTGTATGGAACAGGGACTGTACATTTCTCCTCATAGAATAGTTGGTGGTTCATTCGTAACATTTACTGTCAGTGTCGCGTGCCAGATCCCACAGGTGTGGACCTGTTACAGTCCAGTGGAAGAGACCTCTGTGTAAATAACCATAATAACATGATACCTGTTCTGCCAGGGAAACACAGGGATTAGAAGAGGCTTTGCAATGTGGGTTCCAGAAACTTACTGGAGAAGCAGTGCAGTGCTGGGCTAAGCTCTGAAGACAAATGGTCTGTGTTTGATATGGCTACTTGGTTTACTGGTTGCATGTGACCTAACCTCCTGGGCCTTAGTTAGAGAGCATCAGTGAAGTAAAGAACAAATGAGTTGATACTAGTAACGGTCACAATCTCTGGCATATAACAACAGTATTTAAGTGGTCCTATTACCAAACAGTTCTTTATGACACCTGCACAGGCCTGTGCTGGGCAATATAAGTCACTGACTCCACTGTCAGGGGGCTTATTCCTTAAACAAAACTAGAACACTCTTATTCAGGAAGAGCTTAATAGGAGTGGAGGGTGAGGAAGGAATTTCTAGCATTGAGAGCACACAGGACAGAGGGGAGTGTGTGACAGTGTTAACTAATGCCAACCTACCTGTGGGTCTACAGTTCTATAAGCTGAAGCAGCCAAGGAGGGGGCTCGCCAGTGAATAAAAGCACAGAAGTGAGCTTAGGGCACATGTGGGTCCCCAGAAGCCCGTTCCTCTCCCCGTTACATGTCTCTGGATAGGGACTCAGTTCTCTAAGCTTTAGTTTAGTTTTGTTTTTTTATAACTGTGAGAAAGGATAGTAATAGCGCCAAGCCCACAGGGGCGGGGGGTGGGGAGGGTGAGTCTGAAGATGGTGTAGAAGGAAAGTGCAGCAATCATGTTGTGCTTACTTAGAGATCCAACTCCTTTTTTTTTTCTTCTCCCCTCAGTAAACAGCTGGCTTTGCTTCAGTACTTATACAGTTAACCTACAATGTGCCAGACTCTAGACTGGCTCTGGAAATAAAGATCAAGATATACTTTCTTGGCCTTTCAAAGTTACTAGATGAGTTAGTGACCATCTTTTAGTAGTTTGATGGCAGTATCTCTGTTCAAATTCAGTCAATATATTCACAGCTAGTGTGTTGTTTGCTAGTCATTTTGCTAGGTCTTGAGGATGTGAAGTGATTCTGGTCTTTTGGGGGTTTTACAACCTGTCTGAGGAAGAAGGCTGTGATGGTTTGAATATAGCTGGCCTAGGGAGTGGCATTATTAGATGCGGCCTTGTTGGAGGAAGTGTGTCATCATGAGCGTGGGCTTTAAGACCCTCATCCTAACTGCTTGGAAGCCAGTCTTCTCCTAGCAGCCTTCAGATGAAGATGAATTCTCAGCTCTTTTTGCACCATGCCTTCCTGGATGCTGCCATCCTCCTGTCTTGATGATACTGGACTGAACCTCTGAACTTCTAAGCCAGCACCAATCAAATGTCCTTAAAAGAGTTGCCTTGGTCATGGTGTCTGTTCACAGCAGTAAATCCTAAGTAAGCCAGAGGCCATGAACTGAATTATGGTTCAGAAAGATCCAGCACTATGAAAGGGCAGCACCAGGCTGAAGATTCCCAGCACCGGCATTTGACCTGTGGTGTAAGGGTGAGGCAGTGGTCAAGGAAAGATGCAGGAGGGAGCCACATCTACATAGAAAGCGAAGGATGGAGGCTGGCAGGGTCGATGAAGGCAGTCCTATGCATGGCCAAAGATGACAGAAAACTGGCACACTCAAGAAAATTGCTTAAAGTGGAATGTGTTGAGGGCAAGACTGGAGATAGAGGTGAGGAAGGATGTAGGGTAGATAACAGGAACTTAACTCCAAACCAAGAATTAAGGTTTTATTTGGAGGGCGCAGGGAAGCTTTTGAGGATAGATGCAAAGAGGATGACAAGGTGAGGCAAGGGTTTTGAGAACTCTCTGTAGTGGTGGAGAAGGGTGTAGAAAGAAGGGACTGGAGAATGACAACTGATTAGGATGTAATTTTATAATCTTAATGAATGATTAATGAGGGGAAAAGTGTTGTGGTGGGATAAAGGGTCAATGAATGGATTTGAGGGTCCCATATGCATTAAATATTGCTTAAATCCTGGCTCTTTGACACATTTCCTTGTAATGATACTATAGTAACTAGGTACTTTAGGAATGAATCAAGAGAGCTAAGTTGTGTATTTAAACATGGCTTTCCTCTTTCTAGCATCCATCCTTCATAATTACAAAGTCTTGGTAGTGTGGTTGTGCTTCCCTTGAGGCAGCATTGCATTGTTGCAGACATGCAGGAATTGGGGGTGGTGTGTCAAAGTGAGTAGACGCAGAACTCTGTTCTGCCCCTTAATGTGTATGGGGCTGTGACAATTGCTTTGAAATGTCTTTGCTGTATGAAGGAAATAGGAAGTTGAGAACATCTATACACAGGGTTGTTGTGAGGTGAGAAGGTTTACAATGTACTGAGTACTTTCCTAGGGCTCTAAAATACAGAACCTCCTGAATTTCTTTTTATTCTTTCTCCCATGTCTTTTCCCATAAATGGCCACTTCTCATGGCAACTATACACTATTATAATCCTCCAAGTCTTCAGAGCAGATAATAGCTGTTCCAACTGCTTTATAGGAATGCATTGATACCTCCTAAGATTTTATGAACAAGTTTTTGTTAGCGTTTCCCTTTTTTATAGCTGAAGTGCAGTGACCCAGGAAGGTGAGGTAACCTCTCCAAGACAAAGTGCTAGTTAGTGCGTGGACTTGGTACTTGCTCCCAGGCAATACAGCTCCAGAAGATGGGCTCTAAAGCACATACTACTACTTGGCAGAACCAAGAACCACAGATAACACATTGTGAAAGAGTTAAGAGGTGAAAAAGGGCCAGGCTTCTTTTAATTGTAATTCTTATCAAACTTTCAAACTGTAATAGAAACTGGGTGCGGTGGTGCACACCTTTATCTCAGCTCAGAGGCAGAGGCAGTCGGATCTGTGAGTTCCCAGCCAGCCAGGGTTTACAGTAAAACCTTGTCCCAAACACAGTTTTCAGTGGAGGGGAGCAGTGTGAGTGGTAAAGACTCTTATTGTCTCCTAAAGCTGATTATGTGAGATGAGCAAGAGATACTAAATGAGGCTCAAGGCAAGCAAATTGACTGGTAACATCTAATCATTCCTGGGAGCTTCTTTTAGATACAAAAATGTGGCTTGATAATAGAAAACCACACAGCTTCAACATCCCAATTAGTCTGATATTGTTTGCTTGATGCAAATGGTAGCTCTTTGATTTTGTTGGTTAACAGATCCCACTAAGAATCCAATGAATAGAGATTCTCTTTCCAGAAGATCGCACACTTAAGTTCTGCATACAAAAGAGGATTTCAAGAGCTATGCCTGCGGTGAATTTAGACAATCTATAGAACAATGAAAAGCAAGAGGCTAGGATTTGAGTCTTGATTCTTTTACTAAGATGTTGGGGACACTAGGCAAGTCATAGCCTTTTGAGCATCTTATGCAAAACAACGATTCTCTCTGGCTCGGTCACAGCAGTGGACTGATCAGGATTCTAGAAGGTGAGGTGAACTGTACAGTGCTTTCTGAATGCCGTCAGGATATTGAGATTCAGACAGTTTGCTCACCTTCTGGTCATACAGAGCTAGGGGTAAAGTGCACACACATGGGAAGACCTCCTAAGAATTTAAAATGATCATGTGAGAAACGAATGTGAAGGGTTACACAGAAATGCCTAAGTAAGTTGTTTCTGGACTGAATCAGGACTCTTTGTCTTACCCTCTCATGGGATCTTGAACTAGGCAGCTGAATGGGATGGAGAGAAGTGTGTCAGTCAGTGATGTCAAAAAATGGAGACAAATAAGATTCTCTCCTGCATCCATGGGGAAACATGTCAGAGCTTTAGTCTCTGAAAAGTAGCCTGCTGCCTGGCATACCCAGGTGAGCATATCTAGCTTTAATGCATCTAGTAATGTTTTAATTCCTTTGGCTAAACAAAATCTACAAAACCTTAAGTCTCAAGCCCTTGCATGAGAAAGACTCCACAAGAGTGTTCCTATCCACTCAGGCTGTGAATGCTTTTGACTCAGATGAACACCTACCTGTATGGCTCATCAAAACGCCCAGGGTCAGATTATGGTGGCCTTCTAAACAAACCAGAAGCCTCCCAAAACAACAACCTGCTAAAGGCAATGGGAAATTGGCATTGCTTCCTCAACCTTCTACACAAATTCTTCAAAGACACAAATGAGAATCCAAGAACAGAGGGCAGTGACGTAGACTGAAGGATGACAATGCATCCTGGAGGTCACTGGAAGTAGCAGGGCAAGGAATGTGGAGGAAATGTATTGATGACCTCACTGTGTATGGAGGCTGGCATGTACAGCTCAAGGAGACCTATGGCTACGAATATGACACTGCTGATTCTGTGGTGATAGCAAGTCACTTTAGTTCTGTGCTTGCAGAAGACAGTTTCTAAGGCTCTGTCCTGTCTGGGAACTCAGTTGACTGCCAGGAGCAAACAGTAATAGGGCCTAGAGGATAGGAATTCAGGAGGCTGAGCATGATAGACAGAGCTTTGTAAGGCAGGGTTGAAAAAGGGCTTGTCAACTTCACACACATTCAAGTAACATTTAATAACTGTTACGAAATTGGGTTCAGAGTAAAGTCTATATGTTGGTATACAGAAGTAAACAGGAACGGTAGGGAACCATGTAATGAAGCCACATCCAAATCAGAGGGACAGGTTAGACATAAGAACTCTGAGATTGCACTCAAATACCTGCCCACACCCTGGCTGCTGTTTTTGACTGCGGTTTGAGTACAGGGCTGTGGCTTCTCACAGCAGCTATAGAACAAAGTCTAGGTGGAAAAAGAAGAGCTGGTGCCCTAGCACAGCTGCAGCTTCAGAAATGACATCTTGTGGTGCCACTCGATTGAGAAGGAAGGGACAGCGTCGGAGAGGAACTGCTTAGGTGGAGCCCCCCTCACAGAGCTCCCTTTTCAGTCAGTTGGCAGATAAAGCGTAGTGGTATTGGGAACAATCTCTTAGAAGAGTTTTCAGAGGATGTTCATGGCTGAGCATCAGAGAAAAACAGGTGAACTTCCTTGGCCAATACTTTTTGAGTAGAGGGAAAAGTGACCAGACACATCTTCAGCTTTGGTTAAAGTCTTCTTAGAACCCCATAATGGTCCCAGGGAAACACACACTTACAAAATAACCAGACTGGTAGGTCAGCTCTTAGGATAAAGACTGGAGATGACACAAAAAACACCATAAAGAACATTTCAGGACTAAAAGACTATGAAGATATAAATAATATTCTTATGAACTACCCCAAACCTTAAATCCATAGATTAACAAAGTGCACTTCTACTAAATCAAATCCAAGATTACTATGTATCAATTCTGGCAACACATGTATTCTAGGCTAAGCCCCCACATTTGTTCTCCTAAACATATTAAGTCTGAATTTTTAGCCAAAGAATGAGATTCCTTTTATTTGGGTTATAAATTCAATATCTAATATTAAAACACTCAGAAACTAAAATCATAGAGCAAGTCCCTTATTGCAAGAGAGCCCACGGGGCAGCTGGTCAGATTTTGGCAATGGACAAGGTGTTTAAAACACCAAATGCTGGCTAGGTATTGTGGGGCATGCCTGGAATCTTGGCACTTGGAGAGTGAAGCAGATTACTAAAGGTCTGAGGCCACACCTCTGAGCTACATAGTGAGCTCTGGTATCCAAAGCCTAAAAAGTGAAAAACAAAAACAAACAAACAAACCACTCCACCAAGTAACAAGGTCCAGATGTATAAAGTTGTAGTGGGAGAAAAGGCAGGAAAACTGTGTGTAGTGTAAACTGAGACACTAGCAATTCGGGAGCAGGTATCTAGGAAGTTCTAAGTGCCTCAATACAAGCTGAAGAGCAGCTTGACACAACTGGCCTATACCAGTCTTGGTACCAGCACTCTCTGTACACGATCTCAACACATTGTGTACTTGAATAGTTTCCCAAGCTGCAATGAAACAAACAAACAAACAAACAAACAAATCCCTCCAAGATGGAATATGGAGTTCATGACAGGAGTATGTAAAAACCTTGAATATGTAACAAAAATCTCAGTAAAGGTGTCAGATATATGATACACTCCTCTACCCCAAAGTGTCTGATGTTCAGGCCAAAAATGTCCCATTTGACTTTTTTTTTTTTTGCCCCTTTTAAAATTAGGTGCTAAACTTAAAACACAGTTAAAGGCATGAAAAGCCAGAGGGCATGAGCCCTGGCTCAATGAGACATATCAAATATACAGACAGCATCCTGATGTCAAGGACAGAAAGAACTGTCCTGGACAATGAGGGAAAGATGGGTTAAGTTCCCCCAGGGCCACTTGCACACAACAGAACATTAGTCATTAAACAAGGGCAAAGGGCAGGTATCAGGAGAGGGCAATGGAATTGTGGTGCTCCATCATGAGGAACGGGGAATATATACTCATGGATGGGAAATTTTAAGTAGCTATGTTTATTACTTTTTTCCAGCAATCTTGCAAGAGGCAGAAGTGTGACATTGAACTGAGTGACACGAGCATGTAGGTGGGTTGGTGAGGAGCCCATCTCTTGGCACGTGCCGCTGGCTTGTCAGGAGTGGCTGCTTCTACCACTCAGTCATGTTTACTCTTTTGCTTGAAGGAAAAGGGTTTCTTGAGGGAACAAGTTTACCTCCAATAATGACTTATTGGGGTCTAGCTGAGTTACCTGGAAAGAAAGAAAACACATATTCAGAAATCTGGAACAAACACATCAATTTTCAATCTTTTACATATAGGCATGAACACATGCAAAGTATCTTATTTGATCTTAAAATAATTCTGTGTACTGCTGGTGGTGTTGATATGTTCTCTGAGGAAACTGGGCAGAAAGGTCATATTCTGCAGTTTTATTAAGTAGGGGAGTTTAGTACTGCCTTTAAGGTTAAGACTTAGCCACTTCCTGGAGAGGTCCCTTGCCTCTTGTGCTTTGGGGAAAGACACAGGAGGGTCCATCTGGTTAAACTGAGTGATGCATGCCTGAGACCTCTCGTTGGTTAACCTCTCTCTCTCTGCTTGTTGGGACAACAACTAAACCTTTAGAAGGACAAGGGCTAGGTCCTTCCACTAAAATTACAATGAATGGCTATTCTACTGTGATCAGAGATGACTATATCCCAGGGATGATCCCTTGTGAGACATATTGGGGGTATATGTAGTTTGGAAAGATGAGGCAAACACACACACACACACACACACACACACACACACACACAACTGTAAAAGGCAGATGAAATCTTGATACCATGGGCTATGCTACATGAGAGATCTTAATTAGATTTTTGCACTCCCTAAGCCAAGGCAGCAATGGCATGTGAAGGTTTATAAATGTAAGAGAAAGAAACAAAACATTCATTAAAAGGGGTCATAAATTCTGAAAGGCTGAAAAATACTAGGTTAGTTGAGAGGATATAGGATTTGAAAATAGGTAGAGCCTGGTTTAAGTCACAGTGGTGCAGGCTGATTTAAACAGTGGTGCAGCTTTGTGACTTATAGGACTGATGAAGATTAAATGAGAAAGAACATAATTAGCACAGTGTCTAGTATGGTGTAGATCAGTAGACTATGCTGTGTATGAGCAACTGTTAAGGGAGAGATGGATGGTTAGCTGCTTTCTTGCCATACCTGAAGATGCTGTTCTGCTATTTATATGAGCTTTGGGACCTTGGGTAAATAGTATGGGCAGGCAATTTGTCTGCTCAACTCAAGCAACTCATAATGACTCTGGTTTCTTCTTCCAGCTAGAGAAGGGGAGGCCCTGGGGACCAGGGCTGGGTGTCAGAGACAGATAGTAAGCTGATATAGGGGAACATTCTCTATTTAGTGTATCCAGACAGAAACTTACTATGCCCAGGAGGGTCTTTAAGGAGATGTCTCTACCCCTAGGATTCTTTCTGCTTATAAATCTTGCCCTACTATTATCTCTTGGGTACTGGGCAGATGGGCAGGCAAGGTGGAAGGGAGGGCCTAGCCTGCTGTCTGTCTTCCAATGTGCAGGGAGGGGAAGCTGCTGGCAAATGTTTACCTACTTCCCCAATTAACATACAATACTGCACTGGCTTCTGTCAACAAACAGAGCTATGCTGCCTCTGCTTCAGACTGGCATTTTCTGCCCAGCTGCTTCTGCTATTGTTCTTAATTAACATGCCAGAGCTCTTCCGGCATCTTCTACTTTGTTATTTGTGGTTTGTAAATATGATGCTTATTGGGAGAAACCAAAAATTACACTAGTGGCAAAGCTGTGAGAACAGGCAGTAGGATTTGTTAGGAAGCAAACAGGACAGAGGCTGGAGCATCAGGCCGACGTGGCACCTACTAGAGTGGTAGATGTGCAAGATAAGAGATTCATAAACTCTTAGTTAAAATTCTAGATGTCACTGATAAAACAATCAAAAATTTCTTGGACATATATTACAAGCCAGGGACTTCCAATATATTTCTTAAGTCATAAACCAATCACCATGCAAGGTTTCAGAGGTAAGAAACTGAATTTCAATGTAGCTGTCACTTGTTTAAATTAGCCTTTCCCTGCAGGCAGTCTGGGGATGTCATTCTCCAGCTTCACTGAGGCCCTACAGTCAGTGGACTGCTTTGAAATAGGCACAGCTCTGTTTCGACACTTTCTCTCAGGGGGTCCACATGAGGCCACCTTCAACTCCACACTCTAAAGTTCATTTTATTTATGTTTAAGTTTTTTTTTTTTTACTATCTAGTCTTTTATTTTTCTTTCTTTTTAAAAATCCACTTGTTTAGTAAAACAAATTATTATTACAACAGGAGCACAACTGTTGACAACAATAATATCCAATAGTTTATAATCTTTCATCACACATTGAATATATTAACTTATTTAATCTTTACAATAATCCTTGAGCTAAGTACTGTTATTTCCATTTGACAGGCCAGGAAACAGGTTTAGAAAGGCTGAGAATTTGTTCAAGGCCACATAGCTAGTAAGTGGAACTTGTTATGTAGACCAGACTAGCCTCCAACTCCCAACAATCCAACTCCCTCTGCCTCTCAAGTGAGCATGCCGAAAACCATGCTTCAATACTGTAGTTGTCACACTGCTTACCCAGAGGAGTACCTGAACTCAGCAATACTTTTGGGCCAGTGTTAATGAGGATATAGATAACATGATACAGAAGTATACACTGTAAAACATACAAAGTCTTTTTTCTTTTTCATATCATTTGATCTAAATGCTAGTCTTGTAACTACTGTTATCCCTAGTTTACAATTAAAAACCATAAGATTAAGAGATTAAATGAAAGTGAAAAATAAAATTAAAGTAAAACAAAAATAGATTAAATGAGCCCTACTGTTACTGAATTAATTAAAAAAAAATAAAAATAGCCTTTTGGGCCGAGCAGTGGTGGTGCACGCCTTTAATCCTAGCACTTGGGAGGCCGAGGCAGGTGGATTTCTGAGTTCGAAGCCAGTCTGGTCTACAGAGTGAGTTCCAGGACAGCCAGGGATACACAGAGAAACCCTGTCTCGAAAAACAAAAACAAAAACAAAAACAACAACAACAACAAAACCAAAAACCAAAACAAATAGCCCTTTGGTATTCTATTGCCCAGTAGTGTGACTATAGTTAACAATAGTATATTATATAGTTCTAATATCCAGAAGAGATTTTTTTTTCATATTTTGGCTTTTTAAAAATATTGTTTTTATCAGTTCTTTGAGAACTTTATGCAATGTATTTTAATCATAGCAATCCCCTTCTTTAGCTTTTCCCAAATGCTTACCACTTCCCTACCCATCCTGCATCATGTGCATGTGCTCCCTGTTCCCCTTCAACTCACCAAGTCCAGTCAGTATTGGCTGACTATTCCTGCATGGGGCCTGCCCTGTATTGTGGTCCATATATCAGGTGTCAAACCATTAAAGAAAACTGGCCTTCCCTTTCCCAGCAATAATTAAATGCCAGTAGTCAGCTCGGGGACTTCGAGTCCATCTCCCCTCCTCTACACTGGGATTCTGGCTGGCTTGACTTTGCCCAGGTCTTGTGCACGCTGTCACAACTGGTATTCATATATGCACCTGCACTGTTGTGTCCAGAAAGCACTGATGTTTTGGAGTCACCCAACATCTCCAGCTTTTATAATCTTTATCCTCCATCTTCCTCATGATCCATGAGCCTTGAGGGGACTGTCAAGTCATCTGTAGCTCTACTGCATCAGTGGGCGTATCTTGCCAGGCGGGTGTCATTGCAGACTGCAGGGTTTACTGCTAGGTAAGACTGAAGACCACCTTCTTCTTCCAGTAGAGTCATAGCATTTACCAGCACTATGAAAGTCACTAATAGGGATGAAGCTTCCAGTTGAGGACCAGCTGGATTTCTCCATATTCTGTGACTCGAGTACGTGATACAGAATTTTTTCTTTTTAAAATCTCATTACAAAGAAATGTTAACTTGATGGGGTGATGGATGTACTAAGTATTCTATTTTGATTATTACATGATGTTTAATTTACATATATCAAAAAATTACACTGCATTTTATAATTTGTAAATGAGGAGACACTTAGGGAATGCAGGATACCAAGCTTCTCCCCAGCAGCTAGCTAGGGGCCGTATTGTGAAAACACTCTGCAGTGCTCTTGGCCTCATTCGAAGAGCATGAAGCATGTAAGGGGAGCTCTCTTGGTAAGGAGGAAAGTAAGTCTGTGTTTCCTAATGAACAGCAGAGGACCAGAGAACTGTGTGTGGAGACAGGGTACAAGGACGTGGTGCTGCTGTTGCTGTAGAGGCAGAGATGTGCTGTGCTGGGCCTGTGTTTCTCAAGTATGACAAGTAGAAGGCAAGGCAGTGTGCTTGGTGAGGCTCCAGTACAGAGAGCCAGGATGGTGAGGCCAAGATCATGGGAAGCAGAACTCTTTCGAGAAGCAGCAGGTATTAACATGGCTAATAATGGTCGCAGCTTTTCTTCTTCCTCCTTCAGGTATTATTTAGCTTCTGTTCTCAGTCATCATCACAGCAGCAAGCATCACTTAGTTGGTATCTCCTGTGAGTTGGGTCCATACACCTGCACTCTAGATTTATATGTAGTCTCTTAACTAGTCCTCAAGATGGCTTTGTGAAATTAGTACTAGTTCCATCTTGTAGATAAGGTCACCAAGGCTACCTCGTCCACAGTTGTAGAGACTAAAGTTTTAAAATCAGGTTTGGCAAACCAACTTATGAACAGACTGACTTGGGAGGAAAGAGGGAAATCTGTTGCACTTAGAGACATCCAAATACAGGCATATTTACAGATGATGGTAAGAACTAACATTTTCTGAATGTTTACTTCAAACCAGGCAATCAATGACATATGCTGCATTTATAAAACTAATTTTTATAATAGTCCTCCAATGTTGGCAGAATGATTATCCTTATTTTATGAGGAAATTAAGTTACAGAGCAGATTGTCTAAAGTATCAAAGCTATTAAAGGCAGATTGTGAATCAAGGGAATTTAACTTTGGAATCTACTGAGTTACTAGATCATATGGGTAGAGATAACTGTACCTACATGAAGAAAGAAGTTCAAAGAGATGACCCCAGATTTTCTTTTAAATTAAGCTTCCAGGATACAAGATCTTCACTTTAAGAATGGCAAAGAGACAAAGGTCATTCAAAAAAAAGTCCTGAAATGTTTATAAAATACGAATACAAAAAC